CCATTTTTTTCTTTTTGTACTGCAAATAATTTGATCTTCCATGTCTGTTCAGTCCCTTGTCTGTCTTAAGCAGAAATCAGAAACCTGAATTTAAAATCTGAAGTATCAGAATTCGGAGTCATCATTACAAAGTTGCATTGAGGAAGAAATGCAAAATACAGATAGCAGGCTTATCTAGTATCTTGCTTTAGCTTAAATATCACATTTTCTGTCACAGAAACTGGACATAGAAGTAAAAAAGTTTTCTTGATGAATCATTCATGATTTTGAGGCATTCTATTGTCTTAATATGAAATATAGAGTATTGAAGGGTGTAAATAAATGAATGTATCTTCTGTATCCAGATGCACTTTATAGTTTTATGATTAATGAAGTATATATATAATAACATTACTGAGTTCATTTTAATGGTTTCTATTTGGGGATCTTGGATGGACATTGATGAAAAGTACCTGCTAAAAATTAAATCCTTGTTTCTCTTTTTAGTTCAATGTAAGTGAGATTTCTAAAAAAAATCAAAAATGATTTTACAAAGTGTTACAGGGGTCACTTCTGTGCTGAAGGAGTTGAGCTGAACTGCATTTAATACCTATAGGACAGGTTTTCCTCTCAGTGTTATGCTATGGACCAAATAATAGAATAGGTGTTTTACTTTCTAATATTTGCATAATAAAAGAGAGCATTGAGGTAATTTATCTAATAGATATAATGTTTAATTTGAAATAAAATATAGCTGTTAATAATTTTTTTGATTTTTATTCAAAATATTAGCTATTATATGAAATAGTTTTTCAGGAGTTTTCTCATTGTCATTTCCTCTTTATCATGTTACAATTTTTTATACCTAATTAAGACCTCAAACTTGAATTTCATTGTGTGCTGAAGTTTAATAAGCAAGGGTCATGAAGAGGTATGTTGTTTAATGTGTACTTACAAATGTTTCAATCTACAGAAGCTTCCTACTGTAAAGCATAGGCGAAATTTTCAAAACAGTTGTGGCATGTGATTCAAGCTGTGCAGCTGTGCTAAAACCTGACATCCCATGACAATGGGTTCTTTGGAAATATTTTTGATATGCAGTTTTTAAATCAACACTCTATATATTTAAATATATATGCAGATGTTTTTGACTTTATATCATTGTTAAAATCCATTAGTATATAGATCTCTAAGCTGTATCCCTCTTCATTTCTGAGTGCAACTGAAGATGGAGATTTTAATTTTCTTTTACACAGGAAAAGTATTTGAGGAAGCTCCATTTTTCCTCCTAAGTCTTAAGAGATGAAATGAAGGAATTTAAGGCAAGAGATACCTGGAAAAAATGTATTTTCCCCCAAAATGCCCATTTTCTAACCTGAAAAATTTTATTTTCATAATTTTGGGTTCATACAGTATTCTCCCAGAAACCCTTCTTATTTCCTCCAGGCTTCTGGAGGCCTCTTGTTTTCAGGGTATAAAGATCTTTAATGCTTCTTTTCCTCACTCCCTGGTTGCAAGTCTGGAAGCTCTGGGAACTCTGCTCCAGCCAAGGCTTGTTCCAGTTCTGTAGCTGGAGAACTTGAATGGACTTAGAAGTCTTGGCTCTGGAGCTGACTCTTTCTGAGGTTCTAGGGTTCTTCTTTTGGAGCTGAAACATAATCCCAGGATTTCTGGCAAGTGAGTTGCTCAGTCTTACAGACTGCCTTAAACTAAGAAATCTGAGGCTTCCCGTTTCAATCAGCACCTATGACATTGCAAAAATATACTTTGGAAAAGAATCATTGCTGTTTGAAAACAAGTTTTGGCCTTCTTATTAGGCTATTAATAGGAAAACAAGCAAACATCAGTTTTCGTCCTAATTTAAAGTGAAATAAAATTTTAGAATTCGTTACAAGCTACATTATTTTCTGTTCGGTCTGTCCTAGCTGCGTTGGAAGGATTTCAGAGATAAGTGACAATTAAATCTAGGACAAAGAAAATTCTTACCTGGAGAGAGATTGAAACAATTGGGACAGCTTACTTTAAAAAGGAGATGAATAAGGCCACACAGTGAAAATGTGAAAAGTAGGGTGGTATAAAAATTTCAATTCTGCCTGTTTTCAGGGTATATGAACAAGGAAAAGTCAAATCAAATTGCAACGTGGCAACTTTAAAAGGAAATATTTTTCCACACTTCGTATCATTTGCTGAATATCAGGATGTCACTAAAATCAGGAATCTGGCAAAGCTGAGCAAAAATAATGATCAATTTTGGCAATTCCTGTGTTTCCTGAGAGATGACAAACTCAAGGAAGCAATCTTTATCTTTAAATGTCAGGAAGTTAGTTGGTAGTGCATTGTTACATCTGAGAGGCACTGAAATGCAGTGAAAAATGTTTATTCTACCAGTCATAGTTGTTGATCTTTTCTTTTAGGTTTTCATCCAGAAGACGTGTTTGAATAGGGTGGAGGGGGTGTCTAATTGCAGCCACAGAGATTTATAATGAGTCATAGTTTATAAATTTGAAGATAGACACTACCTGCTAAAGAAGATAAGACTAATGCAGTTACTAGGTGAATTACCCAAAACAATAATGCACTTGTATTTATTCTAAATGAAATACTTAGAGAAACAGCAAATATATTTTAAATTGCACAGTTACTTTGTTATATAGAATTAGGAACAAAATGATTCGAAGAGTTTGAAGTAATAACTTGCTTATTAACCACTTCCTTAATATTGAAAAGTTAATGGAAAAGGCCAAGTAATCTCTGTAGAAGAGTCGTACAGTAATATAACTGGAAAATGAGTTACATTTTAGAAGGAATGTGTTTTATAATTAATACTTTAAAATATAATATTATTTCATAAGAGCTCATTGCCTTCTGAAGGTAATATTTGATGAGACACCAGTAAGAATAAAGCAAGTAATTTTTTAGCAGTAACTGCTAAAGGCATCACTAAACATTATATCCTTCATTTCAAAGGAGAGAGAATCATTCTGTGACCTTTTTACAGCGCACTTAGGAAATGCAGCCCTCCGAAAGGTACCACCTTCTTGGAGAAGCCAAAATAAAAGCGATGTGTACAGGCAAAATTTTCAAGTTAATATAATACAGCCTATAAGATAACCAAAAATCACAGGAAGATATTCTTACCTCTAGTTTGACATTGTGTGATGGTGCAGAAACCTGGAATGGCCTTGAAAAGCTTGAAAGGGCCCATAAGAGGATTTCTTCTGAGCAAAATATGCAGAAATCAACTGCAGTGCTGCCTCCCCAAATCTGCAAACAGATCTGAGGACAAGGAGAGTTTTGCTGGAGGACAGAACACGTAGCTTGATAAAGCAGCATTAAGAATATCAGTCATTTAGATGAGCCTCAAAGTGACCTGTATGAGACAGGCTGTCTTCTTATTTGTGTGTCCTTGTGCATCCCCTTGTGCAAGGAGATGAAAAACAGATCCAGTTCCAGGCGGTTTATTATATTAAAAAAAAAGAAAACAGGGACAATACTACAGCACAGCAGCAGCAACATTAGCAGTCCATCTGCATACCTAAACAATCATACTTTCATCTGACCACTAAAACAAGATTGGTACTGAAGGTCTTGAAGGTGAACACATAGTTGTAATATATGTATGACCATACTGGATTCTTCTCTTTAGTAACAGTTTTACAATTTTTTTCAGTTTTTTGCTTTTTTATTTTCTTTTATCTGGTATCAGAAGTCCAGTATGTGGTAGTTCTTGTCTTGGCATCTTGACAATATAGTATATTTCATGACTTATATTATTTGCCTTGATATTCATTTCTACATTTTTTTTCTTTAGTTGAAACCTATTATAACATTTCCATTTAGTTTTCATAACATATTATATATATATATATATAAATAAAAAAGTGTATGTATGTGCGTGTATGTGTGCATATGCACACATCAAAGATGGAGAGAAATAATTTAGTTATAAGGAACACAGGAACAGAAGTAAAACAATACAAACTTCCATTCTTCAGGCTATTTTCTTGTTTCCTTCTCTAGATTTGGGAAGTTTGCTACGCATCTAAGTACAGGTTCACCTGATTTACCCCTTCCCTGTTAGCACTAGACAAATGAGCATACTTGGTACAAGTTTTGAAGAATGTAGGATGAGATTATGGAATCTCTATTTGCTCATACTTGTGCAAAATCTATCTTTTTATGTCCACTAACTAAAAGTCTTCTTCAGCAGTAAGTTATGGAAAGTTTCATAATCAAGCTACTGATGATGTTGAAACAACATCCAAAAGGGCAAACAGTTCACATGCGAGTACTCGCTAGTGAATCTGAACTCTGATTAATCTCCTCAAGGACCAAGCCATCAGCAGCACCAGGGCTCTTTGCGAATTCTGAGTGGTTTAAAGCTCCATATCAGAGTAGAAGTCACTCACATCTATGGCATTTCTTAGATCCCATATGTTTAAACCAACCAATGCTTTGCTTGGAATTCAGTTGCCCAAGGTATCTCATCACTTTTGACTCATTATTTGGAAACTATCAAATCATTCAACAGCTTCCTGATCACATCTGAACTAATGTCTTAATATCCTCTCCCAATATTCTGTACTGGCTACGTTTGTCCCTTCTTCCAGATTTTGCTCGATTCAAACCTGATATTCTTCTATATCTGTCCCACAGTTTCATTTACTATGTTGCCTTTGTATAGCTCATAGTCACAAATATATCAAGTTCCTTTGTTTCTCCTTCCTTTCTAAGCAATTCTTTGCTATTGATTAAGAAAAATCCATGAACATGTTTCTAGTTGGAGTTTAAGGGAAACTTAGTGTTCTTTTTTGGATAATATTCTACTTGTGTGTGGGAATATACATAAATTCGATAGACTAAGTCAGTACTGGCTCTTTCAATGTTGAGAATTGTATAATATGCATGAAAATATGTACCTGCCCTTAAGCTGCCAGAATTTACATTTGCTATGTTCTTCAGCACAATATGGTGTTGATTTGTAAAAATATTAGAAATAATAATAAATCTATCTTTTCCAGAATTACAGAGTAGTTCTTGTGGCAATCCTGGAGTTCCACCAAAGGGTATCTTGTATGGCACAAGATTTGATGTTGGTGACAAAATTCGATACAGCTGTGTGACTGGATACATTTTGGATGGTCACCCGCAGCTTACTTGTATAGCTAACTCTGTGAATACAGCATCGTGGGACTTCCCAGTTCCTATTTGTAGAGGTAAGAGAAATGCTACAGTAATCTTTTCAAATATATTCATTAAATTTATTCATCTGAGTAATTTATAATCTCTATTTTAATTGTTAACATTTAGATTGTGATTAAAGAAACAAAAGCCTTTGGGCATATTTTGGTGTCTTGCTCATATGCATGTATCTCAGTATATGCAACTGCTAGATTTTCAGTCAATATCCCATTAAAAGGCTATTTCTCATATTTTTAAAGTATATATAATGAAATTTCAGAACTAGAAACCTAGTAATAAGAAGATTAATAGGTACATTATAAATATGTGTGTTCAGTATAGTTGAACATGAGCACAAGAGCAAGAAAATATAAATTTGGGATCTATTAATACTTCCGAAGGGCTGAGTTTTTGTCAAATATTAACTGGAATATAGAGTGAATTGTACCAAACAGAAGCTTGAAACTACCCAGCGATTGAGCTAGGGGGACTTAGCCTCATCCTCTGTCAGATCTGATATCTTAAAAATTCTTCACAAGGTAATCCTTGTGCTCTAACATAACATTATAGGTCAAATCCTTTTCCCTTTCTCCAGCCAGAATTATAGCAGAACTAAGGCATCCTGTTTCATTGGTAAACCTTATTTTCTCAGGTTTTTAGAGATAAATGCTTAATGTTTGTACAGTAACGCAAGGAGTTCAGGTAATAAAATGGAGCACCTGTCACTGCTATATACAACCAAATATTATAGAGCTAACAAACATTTTGAAGTAACGCTGTTATGTCAGACAAGCTTGAGATCCTTTCACAGAATCGCAGGTTAACTCTATGGAATGGAACACTTAGCTTTATCTAAAAGCTCTTGATCTATTTGATGCAGTCTTACATGGGACATAGGCATTCCAACAGAAATTCTAATTTTTAATAAAATTCTGAAAAGAAATAAAAGAATAAATGTAGCTCAGATGTTCAGTTGAGTTAAAAACTGGTTAACGGATATACCAGTATCACAAAAACCAATTATATATTGGAAATGGTTATCATTGGAAATACCATTCTATTATTTCCTACTCTTTGCTTTGTGTTATTTAATATGCTTATCTATGACCTTGAAGAAAACAAAAAGCTATTTCTGGTAATACTTTTTTCTAATAATATTATTGATAACTCAGAAGTCCTCCCCTCTTACCTCCCGGAAAAATGCTACCTAATCCTGAGGCAGATACATAATCAAGGCTTAAATCCAAATCTCATTGGGGGAGATGATTATACTTTAATACATAAATTTATACAAATATTACATTTGGGAGTACAGATTTGTAGTACAGTAGAAGATCAGTGGACTGTACCTTAAACTGTTGTCCAAGTCCTTGATCTTTCAGTTTTGAAATGAATTACGGTGAGGAAGATGGGAGACTTGAACCTGATGCTTCCGCTTGTCAGACAATCATGCTGGTTACAGTGTTACACAACTCTTTCTTTTGACACAACTCTATTTTCACTAGATCTTTCAATAGATTTTTTTTTTTTTATTTCAAGGGGGTGTGAAAATACTTTGAAAAATCAGTTTCATATTGAAATGGAATTATAAACTCCCAAAATAGTCCTGTGGTTAAGCATAATGCTAACGTGTAGACAGAATATATCATATAGGAATGAGAAAAGCATAGTTTCTTCTTATATATGATTAGAGAGGTCATTATGAAAATAGTGTCCAGTTCTAGACCAAAACTGAGCTGATAAATTGGAAAAGGGCTCAGAAAAAGAGGAAACATATTACATTAGGTCTGAAGACTGACATTTTATCATGAGACTGAAGAAACTCAATCTTCAGTTTCTGTGAAAGAAGATGAAGGGGTGACTTAAGTAACTGTCGAAGTAAGTACAGAGGGAAAAGATCTTTTGAGAGTTGACAGTTCCCTAATCTAACCGATGAGCACTCGAGAATCTAAGGAATAAAAGCCGATCAAATTAAAGCCGAACAATAAGGTATACATTTTAATGATGATGGTTACTAATTATTGAAACGTTACCTTTGTATGTGATGGATTCTTGATTAATTTAAGTTTTAACATCAAGTATGATTGCTCAAAGGCTTAATGCACTAAATTACTGAGAAGATTTTTTTGGTCTATATTACATGAAAAAATTGACTAATTAATTTCAATAGTTCCTTCTACAAATCTATGTTTGATATGAAAAATATCTGGCTTTACATTTAATGTAGAAATCTTTGTGGTTATGTTCTAATAGGTTTGTCCTAATTTTGCCTAATGTAATTATTCAACAGAATTCTGCAGAAGGTTGGTAAAGGTGATTACGCACTAATGAGTTTCTTATCTCTTTCTCTCTGTTTGTTATGGAGACTGTCTTTGATTAAACACTTATCCTTAAAGAGTTCCTCTGATAAATATCTTACAATTCTCCGTGAATTTTTAGAATGTATATGTATTTGTGCTTCAGAATGAACTTTTCTCAACCCTGAAGAATTTGATAAATAGTTTTTGGTATATGGCCAGATCTTTTGCAGAAATTCATATTATAGTTGCCCATTTTCATCTAATTAATTGAACGGGGGAAAGACGAACTATTTCAATATCATGACCTGAGAAATTTAATTATCTGGTCTGTTATGAGAATAGCATAGGGGAAAAAGTCTCAAGAACAGCAAGAAAGTATGCTTGGTTTGTTATTAATTTTGTATCTTTGCTTTTTTTTTGAACGTATAGGAAATAATTTGAACAAAGTTCTGAACTTACAACATGGTTAGATGCCAGTGGAGTTAAGCTGATAGATCTCTTTAGACCATATATATGCAAACGTCATTGTCGTCTGCCTCTTTTTAGTCAGAACAAGTCAATTTTGGGATTAAATTTTCACTGAGATCATTCTTTTACATTACCTTCACTTTGAAGAAAGAGAGTGGAAGGAAGAGCGGAGGGTCATATTTGTGTTTTAGCATTCTAATTCTTACGCATTGATATCTCAACAAGGGGAATCTCATTGCAAACACCAGGGCTTCATACTGCCACAAGTGTCTACTCTTGAGACCCAATTACATGCTTATGGTTTAAATTTGATGGACAACAATGATATTTGTACTTTTTAAAGTTATTTATTTTTGTCCACATTTTTTTCATGGTTAAAAAAAGTTCTTCCTAAATAGCTTCCCTTTTCTTTACTAGTCTTTATAGGTTTGTACTGGAAAACCAATGAACATGCTTGACCATTGCTTTATTTCGTAACCTGTTTATCAGTGAAAACAGTTAGAACGCACAAAGTTTTTCACCTGTCATTTACATGTTTTGATACTCATTAAAATAATTTTATCTTTATTAGATTTACTAGACATGTAGGAATACCTTAATCTGAAGAAAAACAAGTTAGATTTGTTGTGTTATGGTCAATTATACTGTGTATAGCCTCTAACTAGTTTTAAAATAAAGTCTTCTTGCCTAACAAGTTAATTTGGATAGGGATGTTTTTAATAGTGAAATATGACAGCAACTTTACTATCTCAAATTCTATTCCTGAGATAATGTTGCAGCTTGCAATTTCTACATACTGCAGCAAGGTAGGAAAAATAATTATAGAGGCTAATAATTAAGGTCATTTATATATAATATTGTCATTCTATAAAGGTTATAATAATTATACACTTTCGTAATCAAGGAAGTATTGTGACTTCTATATTTTCAAAGCTTTTCCTGCCCAGGACAAAGCGGTAATTATGTTGTAAGAATCTTTATTCTAAAACTGCTTTTTTAGAGTTCAGAAATTTGGAAAAAATATAAGGAGAATAGTGTTATTTTTATTCCCAGACATTCTATTAAAATATTTTCATCTTTACTTGTACTTATAGCTACAAAATATTTATCACTATAAAACATCTGTTCAGTTGCTCATACCTTTGCTGCTCCAGTCACAACTTTCCATTAATATTAAATTTCAATTCATACTTAAGCTTTTTCAAGAATTATTCAGCTTTTTTTTTTTTAGAGTAGGATCAAGAAAAGAAATTACTTTACTGCTGCTAAATTACTGAGTGCTTCATGAAAGATGAATTAGCACATAGGAGAATAGACGTATACACTGAGCTCAAGTTCCAGTCAGGTGATGCATTTTAACGGGAAAATTCAGTTTTATACAAGAATTATACAAGTTAAAATAAAGCATAGTTTACACTTAATGACCTCAAATAAAGCATTTTTGGTATATCCAAACATAAATATTCTCAATTTCCTAATGCAGAAAAATTCATATTTTCAAATTTTCATCATGATGTTAGATAGAAATATTAGAATACTCCTGGCTGCAATTTTTAGTTTCACTTAATACAGCATATGCACAATATACAAGGTGTAGTTACATACCTCCTGCTGATGAGTCGCATCTGGAATTTCTAGAAGCTCTTTCCCAAGGACAATCAGTTACAGAGACCCATAATTACATTACCGTCGTTACTTCTTTTGTCAGTCCAGGGACATGACAAGGAGGACTTGGGAAAGTTCTGTCCTCATACTTCAGAAGCTGTCTAACTGTTCTTGAGAGGACACTCTCTGGAGCTCAGGTACCATCTGAACCTGGCGTCTGTAACCACGGCAAAAGTTGGTATATTAGCTTAAATACATACAGAGATGTAAACACACGACCACATGCAAGCGTGACAGTATGTAGAGAAGGTGGAAATTCAAAATGTCCACTGAAATGGTATCTTGCCACTTCACAATTCTTTTTTCTAGTTATATATGTCTCTTTTTGAGGGGAGGGGGGAACATTGGTCAGGATCCACCCCATCTGACTTTAGTTTTCCATAATTTAGGTATTTATGTCAAGTTTGGCTGTCTAAGACTCCCTTCAAAATCAATAGACAAAAATGCATATTTTCAAGGCACTGTTCATGTCATTTTTAAGTAAACATTTTCCACTCACGTAACTTTAGACTTCTATGTTAAAATGGGATAAATTACACCTGAATACATTACACCATACACAGAAATGTGCATTTCTTTCCATTGGCTGTAAATATAGGGTA